GGACACGTTTCACCCAAGGTAGAAAAAAAAAAAAAAACAAAAGAAGAGAGCAAAGACAGAGCCTCACACCCCTCATATGCCTAAGGCCCTGCACTAAGTGTGCTGAGGAGAGACAGAAGGGAGAAATTGCAAGGGCATGTGTACCAGGAGAGAAAGGGAAATGAAGGTAATGGTGGCTGTGTCTGTAGGGGTAAAACATACACCAGCACCTGCTGCAAAGGCATGTAGGAGACTGGGGACACAAGGAATGGCTTTCTTAAGAAGGGGACAGCCAGTCAGGACTCCTCTGGTGAATGATCTCTCTAGTTTAATGGACAATTTGGCACTGACCAATATTTGTGACATTATCTTCAATTCATTAACCTCCTTGCTGCTTTTCATTTTCCTTCAGTGGTTAACCACCTCCCTGTTCTCCAGAGTGAGCAGCAGGACAGGGACTGGGACAGCAGGGGCTGGGGACCAGGTGTTTGAAAAACAGGGATATGCAGGAGATGCTGGAGGCAGCAGATGTCTGTAGCCAGGCCTTTTGTTCTCTCACACTTGCAAGCCTGAGCCCTGGGACCACCTTTTCTTTTGTCTCCCATTGTCATTTACCCAGGAGGAGCATTTCAGGAGTTAGCCTCACACAGTCTCTCTCCCTGCACCCCTCTGCTCCAACAAAACAGTTGATTGCCCTCATACTCTGGTTTCTATTTAGATCACTTTCTATTGACATTTAAAAAACTCACACAGAGTTAATGCAGAGCACTTAAAATCAGCTAGTGTCTTACAGGACTGATTAGTCCCAGGGACTTGTCTTGCTGCTCCCCTTGGGAGGACCGTTTTAAATCCTAGTTAAAGGAAGAAGAGCCAGGGTGCACTCACATCCTTTGCCTTAGTGAAAGCAGTGATAATGTGACCCCAGACACGGACACCACCCCACAGCCAGTTTAAGCAAAACTGAGTGAGAAAAATGGGTACCTATTGCACATAGTGTATTACTGTGGTTACTGTAATGGAAAATATCACTTCTGTTCTGTATTTTCAGGTGCCAAGAAATGGAAGACATGGATTTATTACAGCATGTAAAGTCACAGCCCAGCCCCCTGAGAGCTGCAGGGCTGTCCTTTCTGCTGCCTCAGCTCAGAAATAGCTGCAGGAGCATGGAGCACCACGGTGCCTGCTCAGGGCTGCCCAGCACAAGGACTGAGATTTTACACATGGTCACAGATATTCTCTTTTCTGCTGAGCTTGCAGTGCAGCCTCCTTCATGCACATGTCCTTCTGTGCCATGCAGTCATTCTGGGAACATGCCAGATAGAAAAGTGCAGCATGCACACAAGCTCCCTTCTTAGCTGTGTGCATAAGTATCCAAAACCCCAGTGCTGGCTCAGCTGGCTGGAGCTGCACATTCACTCTGCTGCTGAGAACACAGCCACAAAAGGAGCAAGTGAATGTGCAAATCTTCAGGGAGGAAAAGCTCAGCTCACTGGGCACACAGGACACAGGTACCCTACAGGATTCCCTAGTCTCTCCTCACCCCAATCTGGTAAGAACAGCAATCTGTTTGCTCTGACTATCAGTGCATTTTTGTTTCAGAAAACTAAGATCTGCGGTGGTCCCGCGGGTGGCCCAGCTTGATCTCCCTCCTGATACATTTCTTTCTCCCCACCCTGCTGCGAAGTGTGCAGAGCCAAATGCCGTCCTCACTGTCCCCAGCACAGCTAGGACTCTATTCAAAAGGGAGAGAATGACTCTATAGGGTAGTTAAACACTACAAGGTGGTTTAATTCTTTTTTTTAGTGCTCAATCCGGATCCATCATCTTGCTTGCAAGTGGGAGTGAACTCAACCCCGAACTGAATGCCCTCAGCTTTCATGAGCTATTGGGGTACTTAAGACCAAATCCACCAAGACACTGGGTGCCTTTGACTTCTTGTGCAGTCAGCTCTGCCCAGCAGGACAAGCACTAGAATTCCCAATAAGAGACAGTTTGACTCTGTAACGACTTACAAATGACACAGAAAACACCCTTCATCCATTTGCTAGTACCTCAAATACACAACTCTGCATCTGGCAGAAAACAAGCCATAGCCCATTAGCGTACGCTGCAGCCTCCAACAATTGATTTTTATTATGTAAAATATTAATAATAGGAAAGATGGGTGCTAATGTCTTTACAAACAACTCGATGGGTGAGGGTCTTTAGGACAAACAGGTGTTAATGTCTTTGAGATGGGTCCTAATGTCTTTACCAACTTCAAGCTGAAATTTTGTTACAGAACTCAGACAGTTTGACTGCAGCATAAACTCCTGAACTTTACGGTAATAGAAAAATGGGTCAGCAAAGCCTGTTGCAGAACCTAGATAGTTTAAACTTCTGAACTTTGGGAGAAAATGACAAATGTTCAAGGCAGCTCGGGAAGGCTGTACCTCACCCAACGGGGAAAGGAAGAGGGCAACATGCAGCTGAGAGTTTAGGATAAAAGAAGGCTCAGTCTCCCAAAATCTCAGTGGGCTCTCCCTCCCCTTATTCAAATAAAGTTGCAGGACTGCTCTGTCTCCTTTGTGGACACTGGCTTTTCATACAGTGGTTTTGTGCACAATAATTGGCATCAAAATTTACATATATGGTTTTAATGTGCAATACAGCCAAGTACTTTCAATCACAAGTACAAGTAAAACCCTTCACATACTCCTTTACAGACAACACATCAGATACTATAGCAAGGTGCAAATAATTAAGAACAAGACATTTGGGGTTTCTTCAAGAAGATGAAAATGCACACACGAACACTACAGAGGCACCATTTAAACATACAACCTTCATTTAGAGCAAAAACAGAGGTAACCTGCATGGGAAGCTAACCAGGCCTTTCACAGTACTTCAAAGCCATTCCTAGTCATAACATTTCCCTCATTAGTAGGCAGTTTATTTCACCAAATCCTGATTTTTTTAAGGGACTGAACTAGCAAAGGCTTCACACACATAATTCTTGTTTCTGTTGGCCAGGATTTTGTATGTTTGTATCAACCCTCCTAGATAGCAAGGAGCTGGAAGAAAGGTTCAGTTCCCCTACCTGTTTCACAGCATTGTTTGTACACATAAGTACTGTGATAATTTTCTGCTCAGGAGTGAATTTTACCTATTTGGAGGCCCAGAATTCAGCCATCATTATGTCAAAAATTTAGCCTGCTGTATTAAGAGTAATATTTGACATTAAATCAAGCAAAAACCAATAATCAGAGCATACTCTAAAACCTACATGTATAAACATACAATACAAATGGATTTGCTTATTTCGCATACCTCCTAGTGCTGGGCCTCAATATTTTGTTTACCAGTAAGTGATTCAATAAATATCTAAAAAATATTTTTACCATTAAAACAATGAGAACAGAGCAACTTAAGATACAAAAACCCCTTATAAAATTAGTGCAAATCAATATATTTAAGGATACAGTATCTGCACAGTACAATTAAATGTGCAAGTAAAATATTTTCTATTTTTATGCTATATTTAAAAAGACCAATAAAGCTGGTACAAAATAAAAACTTTACTTTCTTCTACTTTATGTACAAAATTCTTGTTAACCCTAGCTGATCTAGGATACTTTGAAGAGAACTTTATCATCCCAGTAATATCGAACTACCTGTGTTTACCAACTAGCTCCAAAAAGGATTTCCATTATTCCTCTTGGATGCAGAACACAGTCCCACAGCCACAGTGAGCCCTCTCATATGCACAGCCTTCTGCACAGCCTCCTGCCAGGCGTGGTGGTCACTCAGTGGATAATTCAAACTTCTATACCAATTACATCACTCCCTATCCTCAGCAGTCCTTCAGCACAGAGTTCTTGTTAAGCCTCCTATTTAAGATTTCACATTGATATGGAATGCCACTGTCTTAAGTACTGAAAATGTCTCACTGACCACACTCCTGCCTTGCTTGTGCGGTCAGTGAGACATGGAGGATGACATGTTCCAGTCCTCCTGTGGAAGCAAAGCCTTTCCTGAAGACCAGGGAAGGAATTTTATGCACAGAATTTTAAGCACTGAGGAGTCCTGGTATCACATTACAGTAATCCAGCATAAAGCCAGGAGGAAGCAGAGGCAGAGACGCCCACCCTTCATATCAGGGTTCACTGCAAAGATTCACCTGGCCAGGACCAGGCAGGTTCAGGGAAATCCAGAAAGAAGTGCCTACTGCTGGGATAGTGCTTGCCCCTGGCCTGCTCTGAGTCTACAATGAAACACCCCTGTGAGGCCACCCGACTGCTCATTATCCACCACACGGCTCACTGATGTTTAGGAATATCACCATGTTTGGTCCTCCAAACTCTTGAGATTACAAAACCAAACCTCACTATCTCTGCTAGCTGGGGTATCAGGCCTGCATATATCTTACTACATCCCACTTCTCTCTTTCTGGGTTAACCTGCATCCAGCACCCTCTGTAGGAGCTGCTCTCACAGTCCTGGAGCTCTCAGTCTCCCAGCAGCTAAATGATTTAAAATAGCTCTTCGTTGGTCCAGCAGCCTATCTCTGAGGAAGTTCACATTTAAATAGAACATTACTAAAAGACAAGTTAAGGGTAAGTAGACCATATAACTGAGGTCATCTGTCCAAACAGCACGAACAGGTTAAATCAGCTTTGAGAAATGCACCTGACAAAAACATCCCTTACACAAGCCTTGATACAGATTATACCAGGCAGTCCACAGGCATTGGAGATGCAAAACACTCCTCACAGTGCTATTTGTGCACAAAGGGGTTTTGGGAGGTAGAATTCCTTTCTGCCTTTAGAGTTGAAGTATGGGAGGAGAAGGAGAGTGGCATCAGGGTGTACCCTGTTCCCTTTGCTCAGTCATGTGCCCTGGGTCCAGAGACCAGACCCACCCCAAGAGCCACTGCAGGTGTCCCCTCCTGTGCCGCGCACACAGCCACGCACAAACCAAACAGATACACACAGACTGATACACACAATGAGCTGGTCCAGGACACGTCCGTGGGGTTCCTGACTAATGAGCAGCATGGATCTTCAGGTGGAAGCTGTAATCCTCCTGCTGGGGGAAGTGCTGGCCGCACACGGAGCAGGTGCAGCCCTTGTCCTTGCTGTGCGTGCGCCGCACGTGGCTGTCGTGGGCGGCGTGCGAGGCGAAGGCTTTGCCGCAGTGCTTGCACTTGAAGGGCTTCTCCCCCGAGTGCTGGCGGATGTGAGTGCGCAGGATGCTGGACGCTGTGAACGCCTGGAGGGCAGGGATCATCCAGGGCAGGAAAGGAAATGGAGTTGCAAGTAATTTACATGGCAATCCCCACCTTCAGCTAACCCAGACCCCATCAGAAGCACGTTATCCTAAAAATTAAGTCCTGAAATAGCTCACATTTCCATTCCTCAGGTAAGTGGAAAAAAATAATGAAAAGTCCCAGCAAGGAGGAATCAGAAGGCAACAGCTATTGCTATGCACATGTGGCTGAGTCCATGGAGATAGATGAAGATCAGAGAAGATTTCTGACCAAAGACACCAGTAAATATCTTCTATATGTCAGAGGGAAGAAGTCAATACTACCCTAATTAGTTTTGCAGCTCATTTATGTGTGAGAAACATAAAGCAGGCTTTCCCTACAGTTTTTGCTTTTAAGGTTAAACCCTTTGACTGTTTTGGGATTCAGCTGGTAAAACTCATCTTTGCAATCCACCATACATCATTTACAGGTTCATTTTTCCTGCTCCATCATACTCTTTCTGCAGGCAGAGTTTCCAGCCTGCTCTCCCACCTCTAACACTTTTGAGCAGCAAAGTCATAAAGACTTCTCCTCCATCTGGGGATAAAACTCATTAAAATTTGAGCAGGAATGTTGCAAGTTTCCCATGTTTTTCCTATTTTTTCTTATCCAAATAGAGAAAATTTCAGACCCTTCACTATTTGCAGACCACACAAAAGAAATACTCTCTAGTAAGTTTTCATGGCAAACAGCAATACATCTTAGATATCCTTTCACTAGGAACCTTATAGGACAAAAAGATCACAGACTCCTATACACAAGTCCTTAGAGGTGTATATCAGGGGCAAAAATATGTTTTGGGGAGAGAATGGTGATGCTGACCCAGCCCTGTTCCTTTAGTCTCACAATGTTCCTGAAATAAATGACCACTGATTTCCACCATAGGAGCTGGAAAAGCAAAGCCACTGTTAGAGGTAGAAGAGGAAAAGAATCGTAATTTTATAGGAGGAGCCAGTGAGGATTCATTTAAACAGACCCTGGTTTTCCAGCCTCAGAAATTATGGCTGTGTCCTAGGACAGCTGCATGCTGCAGCCTGAGGACAAACAGTTTAATCAGATCCAATCCACAACAGTCCAGCTAGAACTGGCTGGGGACTGGTCAAGTGTCCCTAGAGATCTCTTTATAGAGCAAGCCATAAAGCTCTGCCACCTCCTCTTATGATCAGAAGATTAAGGATGAGATTTCACCCTAATCTCTGAGAACAAGTATGTTTAGGATGATCATGGGGAGACAAAAAAATATAATAGCCAAAAGGAGTTTCCTCTAAGGGCACTTCAGCAGGACACTTCAGCTGTGTGCCAGTCATACACAAAACCTCTCTCTACAAAGTCAGGAGCAGGTTACCACTGCTGATGGGGCTTCTGCATTGCATGGACACTCCACAGCACTGGGAGCCCTACCAATATTCATCCTCCATCAGCCTGTGCATCCACATGCTGTCTGCTGTGAGAGCTGCCAGCACTCTCACAGGGAGAGCTCACCTGAATCACCCCTGCTGTGATGGGCAGTAACAGCAGAGTGCATCTTTGATCGGGGCTGTATGGTTCTCCTTGTGCTCTTTTTTAAGTGAAACCTTCATGCCCATCTGCACATCAATAACCTTGATATTTCAAGGTAAGCATGCACAAATTCATGTTGTGCAGGTTCATTTTATAGACCAAATCTGTTTATTGCAGTCCAGAAGCAGTGTCAATAACACCAAAAATTACCTATCTGATAAAGAAGTGGGATACTGGATATAGCTGCATGCTTTGGATGGTATTTGAAATGCTATCAAGCTTCCCTAGACCTTATTTCTGCAGCAGATCACTGAGCTGGTATGAACCACAAATTCCTTGTCAGATGGAGACCAGACCCTGTTTCTTTATTTCCCTGTCACCTTACCTCACAACTGTCCAGAATACACACTTACTCATCTGGTTACCAGTTCAATAAAAAGCATTTTCTTGAAAGAAAACAGAGAAGAGACAAAGCACAGCAGAGGGAGGGATGGGGCAGGGCTTTGCCTTACCTTGTTGCAGTAGACACATTTGTAGGGGCGCTCCCCAGAGTGAACCCTCATGTGTTTGTTCAGGCTGGAGGATTGAGAAAAGCTCTTCCCACACACAGAGCACTGGGGGAAAAAAGGAATAAAAGTTAAAAGGAAGCATGTAACCACATAGTTAAAGAGAAAAATGAAGCATGTGGATGATGTGCACATTTCTTACATATAATCTAGATATACATATATATTTATGTATTCATGTGTAAACACAATAGCAATTTTAAGCTGCAATAAACTGAAATACCCAGAAGTTCAGTCTGGTTTTAAGAACAAATTTACCTGCATATGCACATATATATATATTATATATATTAAAACCATGCAAAATCATTTGTGTTAAAATTGTTTCAATAAAAATTTGTTATTTTACAGAAGAGATAATATTGATGTTCAGTAATAAAAATCTGAAAATTTCTGTAAAATCACTTAAAATATATATAAACCAAGCCCCAGTTTTAATGAATAAAATAATCCTAAATTTACCAAGGCAAGGGAAAGGAAAAGGAATTACATGGTATTTAATACCTCATATTTATGGAATATTTTTTATCTGTTACAAATTCCATGCAGATATTCTGACATTGTAAGAGTGCCATTTTAGTTACAAAATATTTTTTCTGAAAAAATAGACATTGTAGGATGATCTATAAAATAGGTATTTGGAGAATTCTGAGACTGATTTAACTGTGCCATTTCAAGCACTAGAACTTGCCCTTCTCAAGCTTGTAGAAAAAGTCAGATTTCCCATTCCCAGTGCTGCTAGAGAAAACTGGTGCTAGAAGCAAGGTGTTTGGTGGAGATGAGTAAAGCGTTTTGAAGTTTTGCTTTCATCAATTGCAAATCTGCTTCATGCTGAATGTAAAACTTTTAAGCCCTGTTTGGTCCAACAGACACAGATAAAGCTGTGGTCTGTTCTCAGAAGGGTGGAGTGTGGAAAATAGACATGGGTGTGGGAAACAGACTTGAGACATCTCTCCCCTGATCCTGGACAAGCCAAGCACCTTTAAACACAAGTTAACCACACACTGGGTAAGAAAAGGAACACTACTCATACGCAATCATCCAAAAAGCCAAGGGGAAATTTTGTTTCTTTTTAAACTGAGACTCTGGGGTTAATTTTCCCAACCTAAATCCATTAAATTTCTTTAACCAAGCTTTGCTGCACATGACAAGCTCTTCCTGAGCAGTCCCACCAGGAAACTGCCAGGGAAACTGGAGGAGGAACAACGTTATCAACATCTTACCTGGACCAAAAAAAACCAATTCAATAATAAGTACCCTCAGAAGAGCCAGTGACTGCGGAGAGACCCGGGGGCAGGCTCACCTTGTGAGGTCTGTGCTTTTCGTGAACGTGGAGAATATGGATCCTCAGCCTGTCTCTTTTCTCAAAGGATCGGTCACAAAGGTGACAAGGAAATTTGCGGTCCCCCTGGTCCACGCAGCGGGTGTACTTGAGGTGTTTGTCCCGGTAGTACTTGTAGGCAAACACTTTGCCGCAGCGCTCGCACTTGAAGCTCTCCCCGGCTTCTGTACAGCAGAAGGGAAAGTGCCACCGCTCCGTTACACCACGGCAAAAGGGATTCAGGTCAAATCTGCATCCTTGTCAGAGCTGGGACCCCTACGGGGAATTTTAAATCTCTGACAGGGCAACGACTGTAAATTGATACTGGCAATATCATTAACAAAATATGTGCCGCGTCTCCTGAGCGTTCGCAGGGCTCTCCTTGCCTTTTAAAAGGAGGGGAACAAACGAGAGCCCACAGTCTGCTGAAATTATTCGGTTTAGCTACTAACTTCACCAAAATCAGAATTTCATCCTTGTATATCCATAAATAGCAAGGAAACATGCGAAGAAGCAACTCAGAGTCCCACATAAAAACTTCTCCCCATATGCAATCATCGTGAGATGTTTCTTATCAAGAATCGTCGGCAAATTTTACCACCATCCCAAAAGGAAAAAAAAAATGCACACCTTTTCTATGGTTTTCAAATAACTATTGAACAAAATAACATGTTTATTTGACTTTTTAAAAAATTTCAATTCATTTTTTACCACTGAATTTAGGAAAAACACCAGAAAATTTTCAGGCGTTTATACATTCTTTTTTATCTTTAGTAAAAATAGCTTTAGCTTAAGCCTTAAAATGAAATGAACAATTTAGCATCTGTCTGAATTAGACTTCAAGACAACAGGTACAAAATTTTCTATGTCAAATTTTCATGCAAATTTGCTTCTCTCTCTCTCTGCTGCAGCCGGCTGACCCATCCCTTCCCTGCTCCAGTTTTTCCCGCACGGGCACAAATCTGTTTTCTCTATACATAAGTTTTGCTTGTAGAATCATACTTTCTGTACGTTACAAGTAGAAGTACCCTCCCTGTCCCCTCACTGTCAAATGCAGTAAGTGCATTTGACATTTCTTTTGCAAGCAATACTGGCATTACGGGATCGGAACGACATCAGCCTGCCTCATTTACCGAGAGCGGTAATTACACGAAAGTCAGGTGTGCAATCCTGAGATGAAAATAGGACCAAAAGTGGAATAACCCCGAAAAGCCAATCTCCTCCCCAAACGGGACCCTGAACAACGGCGCTGCGGGGCCGAGGCAAGCCCAGCTCAGGACCACCAGATGTTTTACAATCGTCAGACCAAGCAACACTTCACACTCCCCGAGGAACCGCGGACCGGGAGCGAGCTGACGGCAGAATAACGAGGAGCCTCTCGCTCCGCGCTGCCGGCAGCCCCCGATGCAAAGCCCGGATTCCCGGCGCCGAGGGGAAGCTGCTGCCTCGGGGTGCTGGAAGGGGCGGCCGGGGATCGGCTCCCTGGAGGGTGGAGGGACAGACCCGAGGGACAGACTGCCACCGCTCCCGCGGCAGGACCGGTCACCCAGCACCGCCTCATCGCGGGCTCTGGGAAGCCTTTAAAGTAAAACGGCCGGACAAAAGTGGTGCTTGTGTTTCTTTAGCTCCCCTCGTGTGAATCTAATCCAGGCCAGGCACACGTCCGTGGGAATAAGGGGCAGTGTCGCTCAAGGGGTTGCTGGCAGGCTCACCTTCGGGGTGCTGCGGGGGTTTCTTCCCCTCCGCCATGCCCTTCAAGCTGATGGGGATGCCCAGGAATTGCACGTAGCAATCGCCGTACCACACCAGCAGCTCCTGGTTCGGGAAGATTTCCTTGCAGGTCTCGTAGAAGATTTGTCCCTGGCACTGGATAGCCGTCAAATTCTGCTCCTCGGGGAACCTGGCACAGTTCACCAGGGACATCCAGTTGCCAGCGGCACCCTTCCCGTCGATAAAGTGGCTCAGGCCACCGTATTCAAAGATCTGGCGAGCAGAGAAAAAAGGATCAGGTTTGACGTTCCATACACGTCTCGTTCTCATCAGTCCCACCACCCTCACTGGGCCGAGCCCCTCTTGTAGGCTACGGTAGAGGGGACGCCAAAAACCTCGCCCCGGCCCCGCGTTGGGGGTGCGGGGTGAGCCCGACGGTGCCTCCGCTACCTCCCACATCAGCGAGTTGTCGTCGTAAGTCTTGATCTCGCTCGTGTTGACCACTTTGCCTTGGAAAGGGCCGAAGCGGACTCCTTTCGGGATGGGGTCCGTACAGAAGACTCCGAGCTGAGACACGTCCCCGCAGGCCACCCGCAGCACCGAGAGCCCTGCGGGGGACAGGGGGCTGAGCGCGGGCCGGCGGACGAGCGGCGGGCGCTCCGGGACACCTACCTACCTTCGGGCAGCTGCAGCGAGTCCCGGTCGAGCAGCGGGGCGGCCGAGTCCGCAGCGCCTGCAAAAGCGGAACCTCTTCTTCAGCACGGCACCGGCCCCGCAGGAGCGGGTCCTACCGCCCCGACAAAGGCCGCAGCCCGAATCACCCCCCGGCTTTTTCCAGGAGTGGACTCGTAACGCAAGAAAACCACAGGGAAAATAAGTCCGACGTGCCCCCGGCGATGCCCCTTGAGCCTGGCTGCCTGCACCCCTTTTGGGACTGTTCCCGAACCCTCCCGCACACCTGGCTGCAAGGAGCGACCTGCCGCCCAGGGTCACCCTGTGCCTGGTCAAAGACCCCCTTACCCGAGCCAGCGGGGGACAGCCGGAGCCCCGAGATGGCGTGGAGATTCCCGGAGGGCTGGCTGCTCCGGAGTGCCCCGTAGAGCACCGCGTTGAGCTCCTCCTCGGTGAAGTGGTACCTGCAGCTCTGCCCCGCCGCCCCGTCTGCCCCCGGGCTGCGGGCAGCCCTGCGCGGGGGGCTCGGGTACGGCGGCGAGAGCGACCCCGGCGCCCCCGTCCCGAGGGCCGAGCCCTCGCTGGGAGGGAAGGGGGCCGGCAGCCTGGTGTAGACGGGCAAAGGAAGGCTGGGGAAAGGGTCGGGGGGCAGAGGGGGCGGTTGGCTCAGAAAAGCTGGGACCCTGCTGAAGGTGAAGGGAGGCAGAGGCGGAGGGGAGGAAACCAGCTCGCCCAGGGGTTTCAGGGGCTGGGAGAAGTCGGGGGCCGTCTCGAAGTAATGGGCGGGTGGGAGAAAAGAGGGGTAGTAGGAGGCGATGCCGGCGGGGCTTATCCCGAACGACTCTCCGCCGTCTCCGGGGACCGACTCGCCGGCCAGGGACAGAGCCATGTCGGGAAGAGCCGGGTCGGGAAGCAGGGGGGCAGACACCTGGGTGCTGCCGGCGCGGGGTCGCTCTGCGGGGCGGGACGGAGGTGCGGGAGCTGCCCTTCGCCGTCGGGGCTGGCGGGCAGGCCCTGCCGGCCCCCCGCGGCTATATCGGCGGGGCGGGGAGGGTGGGCACGGGCGGCCGCCCTGGGGGTCACACAGCCCCGGGGGCGGGCGGGGGTGCTGCCCCGACCGGCACGGCTACCCCGGGGCGGAGCCACGGCCACTCACGGAGCGGCCCGGCCGCCCCTCCCCACGTCGGGGTAGGGGAGGGGGGTGTGTGGGTGGTCCGGCCGCCCGGACCCTCCTTCCCTGCCGCCGGTTCTGCCCTCCGCCTCCCCAGGCCCGGCCCGCGGGCCCGGCCGCAGCCCCGTGGGCTCTGCCTCGCCTCAGGGCCGGAGGCCGCGGTGCGGGACTCTGCTCCCCACAGACCACCGCCTGCTGCCGGAGGATAGGGTGCCGCGGGGCAGGACACAGGGCTCCCACACACTGTCCTGGGGGCTGCAGGGGTGTGGTTTAAATATGGAAAGGCAGAAAACACCGCTGAAACCCCGGTGACCTGGACACACAGAAGCAGCGCAGTTACTGCAGGCTTCACGAGCACAGCTGAGGTGCTTTGACTCCAGCCTGGAGCTTCCTGTTAGGTGCTAAGCAGAACTGGGCTCCTGCTGGGGTTTCCATGGCTCCATGAGCAGGCCTGTGCTCACCTGCCCGGGATGGGACCAGAGGAGGACACCTGGCCCTTGCCTCCTGCAGAGGCGCTGGGTGATCCCCTGTCTATGGTTTCATCCCGGGTTTTTATAGGGTTTTCTCCTGCCTTCCTTCCAGGTGGATACATGGCAAAATTGCAATGAAAAGGGGACTTGGAAGGGGCTGGAGGATCCTAGGAGCCCAGGTGTTCACTTTGCAGAGTGTCATCCCTGCTGGTGCAGAGAGATGGAGAAATCTTCAGCCCAGGACAAACCCCATGTAGCGTGTGTTACTGCAGAGCTCCCTCTTGAGTAGCTCGTTGCAGCCTGGGTGACCCTGCACATGCAGGCATGGAGGGGAGGGACAGGATGGGCTCTGCTGCACTGTGGACAGCTTGGGGACTTGCACCCAGGGGGCTCTCTCAGAGAGAGGCAGCACAGGGCTTCCTGGGACACGGCAGAGCATGAGCCGAGCTGCACACAGACACAGCTGGAGTGGGGAACAGAGCCAGGCTTAGCTCCTGGAATTTTAAATGCCATTTCAGTGGTTGTATTTGGTGTGCCATAAAACTTAATTAGTATAGCTCCATGTGATCCCGTGTAAAATACTGTCTTCATCCCAAAGAAGGATGGGTTAGGAAGCACTTGAAGCAGCCCCAGACAGAGAAATCTCAGCTCCAGACACAGTCACTGCCTGCACTTGACCAGAGGTGAAGCCATCCTTTCAATCCTGATTTCTTATCTGGCCTGAATTAAGTGCTCTGAAATAGAGAGTTTGAGAAAGAATCACTGGCTGCCCGGGGCAACGAGGGTGTTCAGCCCTCATTCCTTCAGGCACTGCAAGTCCTACTTACTACAGTCTTTCATTTACAATCTCCCTTTATTTTTGCACTCAGGACATAAACATAGGACATAAACTCAGACAGCAAACATGGACATAAACTTAGGACTCAGGACATAAACTTAGACAGCAAACATAAGCACACAACCCCATTGGAGAGAGACAGAGCTGATCCAGTCTCCCTCAGCTGCCAAGATCCCTTCCACAGCCAGTCCAACACATCTCTGTCCCCAGAGTTGAACAGAAACATTTCTGTAGTCTGCATTAAACGTATTGGGCTAATTCTTCTACCTACAACCTCCTCCTCCATCCCAACCTCTGCAAGACAAAAGTGTTAAGTACAGCAGGGAAGCTAATATGCACAAATCTTATGGAGAAAGTAGGAATGAAGCCTTATAAAACTTGCTTGAGATAGTCCCTTAGCTTAAATGGCCTGATTTTTCAGTTTTTTCAGTTTTAATTTTTTTTCTAATTTTCTATGCTTTGTGCCAAACTTCTGTTATTTGTAAAACAGAATTGATGTTATAGTGCTTTAGGAAACTGTTTCAGCCAGGCATTTTAACACAACTTTATTGATGCATCAGTAGCATAAAAGTAGTACCAGCATTAAGCTGATTTACAGGAATAAGTCTTTGAGCTCTGATTGCACAGAAAAGTTTGAGTTATATTTAGAATTTAAGTGTTGCCAGTGAATCTGAAATCTTTTGGCAATGCTGTGTCCAGGTATCACAGCAAAGGAAGAGGGACTAGGGGAGACATGCTCACATTAGAAATTCAGGAGAAATGAAGTCAAATAAGTACAACATGAAATTTTAAAAGTGACATCATTATTTAAATTGTAGACACAACCAGAAACAAAAGGTTTCCTTTTTCTAGAAGCCTGATGACACAGAGTCCAGAGGAGGAAAAGCCTTGAAGCACCGTTGCCACTATATTGCAGATTAATCTTTAGATGCTTTAACATCCTCTAAGAGGTTAAAGGCATTTAGTGCATTAAAAAAGTCATGACCTCGGGGAGAGACGTGGGGGAAGCAGAAGGGCAGCCTTGCAGATGCATCCCCAACAGTCCAGTCAGTACTGTGGGTCTCCCTTCCCTGATTTTATGTCTTATTACAAAGTAATCAGAGAAGTCTGTTAGCCTCCCTTCCCTGCTGCAGGATTTTAGAGTGTATTCCCTCTTTGCACTGATGTGGGGATGCATAATTAAAATAAGCACCAAGGGACATCCCTGCAGGCTGCTTGCATAGCATTCAGTCACCTTTGGACACAGTGAGTTCTTCATCAATCTTACATCCACTCTACATCTCCCTTTCTCCAGGTTTAAAGCAGCCTGCCTCCTACACATTCCCAAACACACGAGTTACACCTGTGAGCATCCCTGCAATCCCCCAAAGACTACAGTGCCACAGCACTCCCTGATGCTCATCTTCCACATGTGGCCCAGCACCTACACTGATACTCAGCTGCAGCATGGACGTGGGAATCCCAGCAATGGCACTAGATGCTGTCATGGAAATAACCTGAATTGCAATTTAGATGAGGTCAGAGCATAAACAGTTTATTGCTATGGCTATAGAAGAGGATAGGTAGCAGAAGAGCAACTGAATCTGCTGTTAGACTATTAAAAAAAGGGGAAAAGAAAATTAAGGTGATTCAACTTTTCCTGTACTAGCTGTATCTTTAGATACAGCAACATTTTAATGGTGATACCATTTGCTCTTTGACTTCACAACAGTAATTAATTGCTCTCAAGTCATTCCAAGTACACCAAGAATAGAGAATTAACTGAAAAATATATGCACAAGAAAGAGGTGGGAAGCCAGTCTAAAATTTGGACCAGATCAATCCTGTCATAGAGATGCAATCCTCTTCCCTTTGTTGGAGTGTGCCACTGAGTAAACACGCAAGCAAAGGCAGGAATATCTGTTGTTCTTGTGTTTTAAAGACACTTTGCCAACAGTTTGCAGGGAGCTGAATAAATTACTCCAGTCAGGATCACTGTGGGACCTTCCAGCATCCTGAGTAGTTGCAGAACTAAGTGATAAAGTGAAGTATAGCCTGAAACTTGGATAGGAGACACATTTTTCAAGCAATTGGCGAGTTTTCCTACGTTTCCTCCTCTGTCTTTGTAGGAATATCTCCTAGGGAGAAATTCCTGGGCACATCACAGAAGTTGGAGCAGCTTTACCTCCCCAGCAGTTGTATGGGACTGGGTGAGTGTCACAGTTTCCCCACTCTTTGCTACCTTCTTCATTCTTAAATGAAGTCTCAGTGAGTGGTGGTTGAGTAGTTTAGAGCATATTCAGTAGGACTGACACATTCCAAGCAAAGTTCCTGCTGCTGTGTGAATGAGCTTTACCTCTGGCTGTCTGGTGGAAGAAGGGTCTGAATGCTCTCTCAGCTCCTTTCTTTGCACAGAGCCACCCTTTCATCATTGAGTGTTCCTGCCTTTAGTGCCTAATTTCAGGGGAAGTGGAGGAAACACCAATTGGATGGCATTCAAACTGTCACTTGGCCTGTCCCCTGCACCCAAACTGCTGCTGTTCTTAAAGCCAGAATTTTTAAAAGACCCACAGAAGGATTCCAGCTCCTTGGCGTTGGAGAAGTAACAGAGCATTCATCCCATTGGAGCAGGGAGTTATCTGAGCATCCTTGGACACAGTGACAATCACACTGGCTGACTCTGGGTTTTCCTGCCCACCCTCCCTTGTGTGTAAGAACCATGGCAGCATTTGTCTAATGCAGCAGCCATGGTTTACAGGTTCACCCAGCAGCAAAGTTGAGCACAAATGCCACAGACACACAGACACAGGATGCATACAGAGTACACTGACAAGTTCAGTCACACAGATTGCCACGAACAAGGTGTTAACCTCAACTGCACCCACTCGTGGTACCTATGTAAGACATAAACACAGCTAAGTTTCCACCTCTTCTTTAATTGGTAGAGCTCTATGTTCACTGGAAAGCAAATCATGCCCTCCCTCTCTACGCTCACAAACACTGATTCATGGGTGGCCTTGCTCTGGGCACAGCCCTTCTGCCTGCCCAGTATCCCTGCCCACAGTCTCAGCTCTCACAATGAGCTTTTCAGGTCCTTTACTTGCTGGCTGGTGCAGCTGGATGCACCAAATGAGCACTCCACCACATTCTGGTCATACTCCAGGGTACAGTTGTCAGATTTCACCCTTTCAGGCAGAATGTTCTGTTTCAGCCACCAACAAATGTTTCACTAACTGTCCTTTAAGATCCTCTACTTGATCTTAATTTTTTTTTTCTCCTGTGTGTCTCTCAAACTTCGGATCAGAGATTCTGTTTTTCTTTTGCCATCTGCCTCACACAAACTGAAGAATACAACCCACTGAAACTGGGGAATTACAGCTTCTGGACTCCAAAATGCTCCTTAAACATAAACCCTGTAATGCAATCAAGTG